GTTGGTCGTCGCCAAGGTCGCAGGGTTAATCCACAAAAAGCACATTTACCGCCAGGTCCCGGCAAAAAGTGCTCTTCAGACTTTACCTTGGAGGGCCGTCCGTCCAATTGGCGGTCCGTAAGAGACAGTCGCTCGTAATTACTACAAAGAGAGGTGTTTAGCCAAAAATGAAAGAGTTCCTCATTGCCCAGCCTACGACGCTGATAGAAAGTAAACCGTAGGTCGCCCCCGAGAGTCGGCTCCTCCTCGAAGAAAAAAAGAAACCCTTTGGGATCCTTTTTGGGTCGTCCGGGAAACACCTTACGAGAGTCTATTTTTAAAGCACCGTCCTCTTCCACGGTGAAGTACACTTCCACCTGGCCTGATGATTTGATATTGGAATCAATGGTGATCTGGTATAGTTTTCGTAGACGAAACGGTGGGAGATTCCCCCCAAACTCCTGCACGATGCGGTCATAGTAGTGCACGTACCGACGTTGTGAGGGGATGGTTACACCAAGGCCGTCGAACGTGCGTGCCTTACCAAAGACGCTTAACGCCTCCTTCGCATCAGGAATACGAACAGGATCAAGCGACCGTAACAGACACGAAACCATAACTCCTGTTCTGCCTTTCCCCGCCTTGCAATGTACTACCACGACGTTTTTTGCGTCCTTCTCTAAAAACGATGTGGCATCGCGGACGAAATCCAGCACAAGACTTATAGGGCACGGAACATGATGGTCCTCAAACGGAAAACGCCTGTACTTCCCTTGAAACCGCTTCGGAGAATCATACTCAGGTCGCTCAGAGCACAGGTTGTAAATACGATAGTGGCCTCCGTGTTTGCCCTCAAGAAAACCTTCTACCTGATCAATGGGATTACGGTAATACTTCTCCGCCCCCCATGCAGGAAAACCCATGGCGATCACCCGCGAGGTGATGTAGGTTAAGTCAAGATCAAATCCATCTTTTTTATAGCGGCGCTTCAATTGGCTCACCCTTGAACGCATCATCGCCAGCGCGGGGTTTTGACTGAGTAAGAGGGCAAAACTATTGCTAACAACTGTACGCCGCGACACAAGATCCTCCTCCTCCGCCACGTGCAAGAGCAGAAAATCCTCATTTTCATTAATACACCCTGACAACTCGTCGCCGTCGCCATTTACACCCAGTGGCATCGCAGCAGAGGCACTGGCATCATCCACTTCTTCCGGCGAGGGCGCCGTGGTCCGCGACTTTGCCCCCATGAGGGACATTAACTGCCTCTTTGCCAAACGCAGCTCCTCCGTCATTTCACGGGTTCTTGCCATACGCCGCACAGTGGTGGAGAGAACGTTCTGAGCAACGCCAGTTCGACTTCTTGTTGCCTCTTGCCCCTTCGTCGCATCCACGTCCTCGGGCAACGCCGCCTCGCTGTATTCCTCGCCCACGAGCTCGTCCAAGTCGCTCAGCGACACTTGCGGCAGCGCAACGCCACTTCTCTGAGGTACAGATGGGGCTCCCCCTGCTCTAACGATTCCCACCTCGCCACGGGTTTCCTTTTTGCGTAAACGCGTACTCGTGTCGCCGCGCAGGCCTAACGCAGAAAGTCGGCGGGGCGCATCATACGACTCCCGCTCGGCGCTTCCTTCTGCATTCGTGTTTGATGGCCCCATTATTTGTCACCGCCGCTCCTATCAGCCGCACCAATAAAAATACCAACCACCCCTGTACCTCGTTGGTAGCTTGATGAAACACATACACATACAAAGAGA